ATAAAATTATTACCCCCGGTCATACTAGCGCCATCCGTTTGCGCACTATCGAACCCGCGTTCACGTACGCCGTTACTATTTTTCAAAAATCATCCAGGATCCGCGTGATCACGCGAAATAATACACGGTCCTGGCCAATAAACAGGCTTATATATCACGCGATCTGACGTAATGATCAGGGATACGTCGAGGTCCGATCATACGATCCGTGATCAAATCTTTATCTATCGGGAGAAAGGCTTTCTCCCCGAGAGTCTTCCGTTTTCCATTATAGTGATCGGAGCGTCATACGGAGAGTAAAATTAGTGCAAATTCGAGAGTTCGCGATAATCTTAACGAGCAAAGTTAAGATTCGTTTCATTAGTCTCACGCGTGTGAAATCCTTCAACCGCGAGCCTCAATCATTGTAACCGTTTCGCGAAGTAACATTGTGCGCGCCAGTAATCGTGTCCGCAGTGCACGTGAACAGTTCAAACGCGAGTGCCGGGATCTTTCGGAGCGCCTCCACTCTCGGCAAGAGGCGGAGACTTCGTCGTACCGCAGCTCCGTTCAAGCGAACTAGGCGTCTCTCTCGCTCTCACGCGAACGGCCGACCAAGCGCCGTCTCGCTCGCTCTCAAGCGAACGGCTGATAGATCGCCGTCTCGCTCGCTCTCACGCGAACGGCCGATAGAGCGCCGTCTCGCTCACTCTCCCGCGAGCCGTGAACAGTGTGGTTTCGCGTATTCATAGATAGCCACAAGTCAGCTATCTATCTCAAAATTGGGCGAACCGACGTGTATAGTGCGGTCTCGCTTGAACTTTAGTACGAGCGGCATAACGCCGTCTCTCTCGCATTCGTGGCGAACCGACGTGTATAGTGCGGTCTCGCTCGAACTCTAGTACGAGCGGCATAACGCTGTCTCTCTCGCATTCGTGGCGAACCGACGTGTATAGTGCGGTCTCGCTCGAACTCTAGTACGAGCGGCATAACGCCGTCTCTCTCGCATTCGTGGCGAGCCGTGAACAGTGCGGTTTCGCGTATTCATAGATAGCCACAAGTCAGCTATCTATCTCAAAATTGGGCGAACCGACGGGTATAGTGCGGTCTCGCTCGAACTCTAGTACGAACGGCATAACGCCGTCTCTCTCGCATTCGTGGCGAGTCGTGTATGGTGCGATCTCGCTCGAACTCTAGGACGAACGGCATAACGCCGTTTCTCTCGCATTCGTGGCGAGTCGTGTATAGTGCGGTCTCGCTCGAACTCTAGTACGAGCGGCATAACGCCGTCTCTCTCGCATTTGTGTCAAGTCGTGAACAGTGCGGTTCGCGTATTCGCAGATAGCAATATTCATTCTATCTATATCGGACCAGCGGACTGACGTGTATAGTGCGGTCTCGCTCAAACTCTTATCCGAGCGGCATAACGCCGTCTCGCTCGCTTTCACGCGAACGGCCGATATAGCGCCGTCTCACTCGCTCTCACGCGAACGGCCGATATAGCACCGTCTCGCTCGCTCTCACGCGAACGGCTGATAGAGCGCCGTCTCGCTCGTTCTCACGCGAACGGCTGATAGAGCGCCGTCTCGCTCGCTCTCAAGCGAACGGCCGATATAGCGCCGTCTCGCTCGATCTCGCGAACAGCTGATCGATAGCTGTCTCGCTCGCTCTCACGCGATCCGCGTAGTGGTGCGCTCTCACCCTACATCGCGTCTTGAGACCAGCAAATGTGTATCATTTTGTGACTTTAACAATAAACGGACAGTAATTCGCTCACCGGTCTTACTGTAACACATTAAGTCGCAACTGCAGATCATTTCATTCCTATCAAGTATTCCTTACGCGATCACGCACTGAGAGAGCTTGCGATACCCCCGCGGGTATGTGCCGGCAAAGTTCAATCGCGCTTACCCGGTCTTACAAAATTCGCGAATCGAAAGCGCGATCCCGAACATTTTGGTCCTTCGAGCCGGATCGTAAGAGCTCGAAGTCAGCGTGATAACAATACTGTGAGTGAATTTGAAAGTTTTGACTACTGTCAGTGACAATGAGTGAATTAGTTGAAAATCAGCTTTCGACGCTACGCTTCGTAGCGAAAGCACTGGACAATTTCAAGAAAATTGGCCGGAATAATCTCACCTCCGCCAAGATACGAAACCGAATGACATCACCCAAGGAAACGTGGAATAATTGCCTGGAAGGACATCGCCTGTTGCTGCAACATTATCCGGAATCAAAACGCGATCTCATCGCTTATTTCCGAGACGAGCAACTGGATCAATACCAGGAAATCTACTTGACAGCACTAGACTACATGTCTGACTGTTTGGAGGAACTGGAACCGTGCGTGAGTCCGCTCCAATCAAGCGACCGATCTGTATCTCATATACAGTCGGAATCCGCGTTATCATTGAGACATTTACCGCCAATTCAATTACCACCGTTCTCCGGTAAAGCCGACGAGTGGGAAACTTTTCGCGATCGATTCACTGCGTTAATCATAAAGAATCCCGAATTATCCGATTTCGCGCGCATGCATTTTTTGGTCTCAAGCTTGACCGATAAAGCTCGCGATGTTGTAGCGGGTACTTCTGTTACCGCTGATAATTTTGACGTCGCTTGGAAAGCATTAACTTCTCGTTTTGAAAATAAACGTAAACTTGTTGAACTTCACATTGCTGAATTATACAATTTACCTTCGGTTAACAAAGAATGTGCCGCGGACTTGCACGCTTTACGAGATAAAGCCGATCGAGCGCTTTCAGCCTTAAAGCGGTTAAACCGAACCCAAGAGGATATACTTAATGACATTTTAGTCTATTTTGTATCGCTCAAGCTTGACTCCGCCACTCGTCGCGCATGGAAACTCAAAACCGGATCGGAATCGACTCCGCCGAATTACGAAGACTTGATTACGTTTATATCATCGCGTGCGCTCGCATTAGAGGAATTAGCTCCTTCCGCTGCGAACAAAGGTCGACATACTGTTCAAGCGAACACTGCGACCTTCGCGCGTCAATCTTCCGGTCCGTGTCCAGTCTGTAAGACACCGCATTATCTTAGTAGGTGTCAACAATTTGTAATTAAGAGTCCGAATCAGAGACGCGAAATTGTCAAGAATTCAAATCTATGCTTCAATTGTCTCGGAACGAAACATTCCGTAAAAAACTGCCAAAGTAAAAATACATGTCGCATTTGTCAAAAAAGGCATCATTCTCTCTTGCATCTTGATTCGGCCTCTTCAAGCGATCTAGACGTTACACGAGCGAACACGTCTAGCACCAGCGCAACTATTGATAATCTCGAGCCATCGCAAACCGTCGCGATGTCCGCCGTATGTTCAAGTACGCCCGTGTCATCCGTATTACTGGCCACAGCGAAAGTAACAGTTCGGTCTCCCGACGGTCGCGTCTGTGAAGCTCGCGCCCTGATCGATCAAGGGTCAGAGGTCACTTTTATTTCAGCAAGATTAGCAAGAATCTTGCGGTTAACTCGGAAACGAATTTTCGCTCAAATTTCCGCAGTCGGCGGTATCAATGCGGATACATGTCGACATTCCGCTGTCATTGAACTCGCACCTCGCGGAAAGCCTAAGCCAGTTTTCACTACGGTCGCGTATATTCTAAATGCGCTTACTAAATACGCGCCGCGATTATCAGTCTCAGTATCGGATTGGAGACATATAAGTACACTCAAGTTAGCAGACGACGATCCCACAGGATCAAGCCCTATTGACGTAATCATCGGCGCCGACATTTACAGTCAAATCATTACGAATGGAATACGGAAAGGTCCAATCGGGCAACCTATCGCCCAGCGATCTCATTTTGAATGGATTATCTCTGGACTCGCTCAGAATCCAAACGTTTTGGCTCAAACGATTAACGTCTTTCATTGCTCAATCGAGCGTGAGTTACGCCGTTTTTGGGAAATCGAAGAGATCCCACGCTATAACATTTTGTCTCCTGCCGAAGAACAATGTGAGAAACATTTTCTTACGACTCACTCACGAATTTCCGACGGGCGTTACGTGGTTCGTCTGCCGTTTAAGACGAAGTTCCCTATCGACATCGGAGAGTCTAGATCAATAGCTATACGGAGACTAACAGCATTAAAAAGGCGTCTAGATACGAATCCAGATCTCAAATCGGAATATTCAGCGTTTCTTGAAGAATACGAGCAGTTAAAACACATGAAAAGAGTGCATCCTCCAACCGCATCTCATTCACCGGCGGTTTATCTTCCGCATCATCCTGTGATCCGCGCAACGAGCGCTACCACTAGACTGCGCGTCGTGTTCAACGCGTCCAGCCTCACAACAAACGGTACATCGTTAAATTCACATTTAGAGATCGGGCCTAAATTACAAACGGAAATAACGGCGATCTTATTACGATGGCGGAAACATAAGTATGTTTACATGGCGGATATTGCCAAGATGTACCGACAGATTTTGGTCGACCCTCGTGATCGTGACTATCAACGTATTGTCTGGTATACCATAATCAGGATCAATCGGACATTCAGGATTATCAATTGTCCACTGTTACGTATGGAACCGCGTCAGCTCCGTTCCTGGCTTTACGAGTGATCAAGCAATTGATAACAGACGAAGGAGCCGCATTTCCCCTTGCAACTCCGATTCTTCAAGATGATATTTACGTTGATGACGTTCTTTTCGGAGCCAATGACCTATCAGTGCTGCGTCAAGTCCGCGAACAACTCTGCTCTCTGCTGTTTCGCGGCAGATTTACTTTACGAAAATGGGCCAGCAACAACTCCGCATTACTAGCAGACATTCCGGAAGAATGTCACGGACTCGCCGGAAACAGATGGCTAACTTTCGAAGAAAATTTCAGTGTTCTGGGATTAACATGGAATCCCGCCTATGACACTTTCAATTTCGCGTGGATCTCTCACCGACACTTCCAGATACGAAAAGGAAGATACTATCAACGATCGCTCGATTATTCGATCCATTAGGATGGGTCACCCCCGTTACGATCAACGCGAAAATCTTCATGCAACATTTGTGGAGATTAAAATTAAACTGGGACGACGCCATTCCGTCACAAACACTTCAGCGCTGGGAATCAATATACCACAACCTATCGGCCTTAAATAATTTACAGATTCCTAGATGGACATGTCAAGATGATAATACTGCTTTATGCGAGTTACACGGATTTGCAGATGCATCTAACGCGGCATACGCCGCCGCAGTTTATATGCATACGACCTCGCAATCAGGAGAGATAAAGATCACATTATTAGCGGGCAAGTCGAAAGTCGCGCCACTCAAGATCACAAGCATCCCTCGACTGGAATTACAAGCAGCATGCCTTCTTGCTTGGTTGATCGAGTTCACGCAATCCTCACTCCAGATGTCAAACGTCGCGTGTCATTGTTGGACGGACTCTACAGTAGTATTGGCATGGTTAAACTCACATCCGTCCAGATGGAAAACTTTCGTCTCTCATCGAGTCGCAGATATCCAATCTCGAGTACCTGAAGTTAAATGGCGGTACATTCCATCCGCGGATAACCCAGCCGATTGTGCTTCGAGAGGTATTCTACATTCCGATTTCAACGCCTTTAACTTGTGGTGGCACGGTCCTCCCTGGCTCAAACTAACTCAGACCAAATGGCCAAGAGATCCCGCTCCTCCGCTGGAAGAAGCGCCTGAGAAAAATCGGAAACTTATAGTACACGTAGCTCAAACAAATTCTGGCTGGGATTTAGCCACAAGATACTCCACGTGGCCGAAGCTAATCAGAATTACAGCATATACTATCCGCTTCGCAACCAGATGCCGAAAGAGAGATCAAACTTCAACTGACTCAGAGGTGCAAAGCCAATCTTTGACGGCAAGTGAAATTCAGACCGCACGCAAATTTTGGATTAGATCAATCCAGTCAGACGTTTTCAGTGACGAATTGGACGCTCTCAAGAAACAGCAATCACTTCCATCAAAATCAGCGTTAGCTATGCTTCGACCTTCCTGGATGAAGATCATTTAATAAGAATCGGCGGTCGTCTAAAACATTCCAATCTTTCATTCGCTACGAAGCATCCGATACTTCTAGCTCCGCATCCATTAGTCAAACTTATCATCAGACACACTCATATTCGAGCATTACACGCAGGCGTTCAATTGACATTAGCAACAATACGCCAAGACTACTGGATTCTCCAAGCGCGAACTCAGGTCAAGCAAATCATACATCAATGCGTTACATGCGCCCGAGAAAGAGCAGAAGTTCCGACACAGCTAATGGGCGACCTTCCACAAGCTCGAATCTCCACACCCGCTCGAGCTTTCAGCCATTCTGGAGTGGACTACGCGGGCCCCATTTTTACTCGCGCATCCGCAGGTCGCGGCATTACGTCCCGAAAGGGTTACATTGTGTTGTTTGTCTGCTTGGCCTCCAGAGCAATTCATTTGGAGTTAGCCAGTAATTACTCCACCGAAGCGTTTCTCAACGCCTTTTCTCGGTTTTGTGCTCGCCGAGGTTTACCTTCCACAATGTACTCTGATAACGGTACGACGTTCGCAGGAGCCGACGCTAAATTGACAAAAGCTTATCAGAGCGCAATGCGCAACCCCGAGTTCCAGAGCAAAATTGCCACCGATAACATTAGCTGGCAGTTCATTCCTCCCCATGCTCCGCATTTCGGCGGTCTTTGGGAGGCCGGAGTTCGCAGTGTCAAGCATCATCTTAGACGAATTTTGGGCCCTCACACTCTCACGTATGAGGAATTTTCTACTCTGTTATGCCGCATCGAGGCTTGCCTCAATTCTCGGCCCATCGGTCCGCTTACAGATACTTTCGACGATTATAACCCCCTTACACCGGGGCATTTCTTAATCGGATCTCCCATCACGGTGAATCCCGAACCGTCCATTCTCTCCGTAAATGAAAGTCGACTCTCGCGGTGGCAATTAATTCGTCAATTGACAGAGCAGTTTTGGAAAATCTGGCAGAGCGATTACGTCAATACTTTACAACAGCGAGTTAAATGGAAGCAAGTACAACCGTCTGTGAAGCCTGGCTTAATGATATTAATTCGTAATCCGTTGCTTCCGCCGTGCAAATGGGAGCTAGGTCGGATCACACAATGTCATCTCGGATCCGACGGATACGTTCGCGTCGTTACCGTGCGCACCGCTCATTCTGAATATAAACGGCCGATAGTTAAGCTATGCGTACTACCCATCGATATCGAGTCTTCGACTAACGGTTCTCCGAGCGATAATTGAGGTTCACGCAGCCACAATTCAAGACGTGAATACGTCAAAGCGGACGCATGTAAATATGTAAATACACCGATGTACATATGTATATACTAATAATTTGTAATAATGTAAATATGTAAATCTGCGTTCCTGTAAATATGTACATATGTATTCATAACCTTGTAAAATCGCTCCGATGCGATATCAGTCGCTCACGCGGCGCATCCGATAACTCTTTACTTTCGAAATTATAATTTCGAGGCGGGCGGTATGTTAAGGATTCGCCCTGAATCGCGCATAAAATTATTACCCCCGGTCATACTAGCGCCATCCGTTTGCGCACTATCGAACCCGCGTTTACGTACGCCGTTACTGTTTTTCAAAAATCATCCAGGATCCGCGTGATCACGCGAAATAATACACGGTCCTGGCCAATAAACAGGCTTATATATCACGCGATCTGACGTAATGATCAGGGATACGTCGAGGTCCGATCATACGATCCGTGATCAAATCTTTATCTATCGGGAGAAAGGCTTTCTCCCCGAGAGTCTTCCGTTTTCCATCATAGTGATCGGAGCGTCATACGGAGAGTAAAATTAGTGCAAATTCGAGAGTTCGCGATAATCTTAACGAGCAAAGTTAAGATTCGTTTCATTAGTCTCACGCGTGTGAAATCTTTCAACCGCGAGCCTCAATCATTGTAACAGTTTCGCGAAGTAACATTGTGCGCGCCAGTAATCGTGTCCGCAGTGCACGTGAACAGTTCAAACGCGAGTGCCGGATCTTTCGGAGCGCCTCCACTCTCAGCCAGAGGCGGAGCCTTCGTCGTACCGCAGCTCCGTTCAAGCGAACTGGCGTCTCTCTCGCTCTCACGGCGAACGGCCGACCAAGCGCCGTCTCTCTCGCTCTCAAGCGAACGGCTGATAGATCGCCGTCTCGCTCGCTCTCACGCGAACGGCCGATAGAGCGCCGTCTCGCTCACTCTCCCGCGAGCCGTGAACAGTGCGGTTTCGCGTATTCATAGATAGCCACAAGTCAGCTATCTATCTCAAAATTGGGCGAACCGACGTGTATAGTGCGGTCTCGCTTGAACTTTAGTACGAGCGGCATAACGCCGTCTCTCTCGCATTCGTGGCGAACCGCGTGTATAGTGCGGTCTCGCTCGAACTCTAGTACGAACGGCATAACGCCGTCTCTCTCGCATTCGTGGCGAGCCGTGAACAGTGCGGTTTCGCGTATTCATAGATAGCCACAAGTCAGCTATATCTCAAATTGGGCGAACCGACGTGTATAGTGCGGTCTCGCTGAACTTAGTACGAGCGGCATAACGCCGTCTCTCTCGCATTCGTGGCGAACCGACGTGTATAGTGCGGTCTCGCTCGAACTCTAGTACGAACGGCATAACGCCGTCTCTCTCGCATTCGTGGCGAGCCGTGAACAGTGCGGTTTCGCGTATTCATAGATAGCCACAAGTCAGCTATATCTCAAAATTGGGCGAACCGACGTGTATAGTGCGGTCTCGCTTGAACTTTAGTACGAGCGGCATAACGCCGTCTCTCTCGCATTCGTGGCGAGTCGTGTATAGTGCGGTCTCGCTCGAACTCTAGTACGAGCGGCATAACGCCGTCTCTCTCGCATTCGTGGCGAACCGACGTGTATAGTGCGTCTCGCTCGAACTCTAGTACGAGCGGCATAACGCCGTCTCTCCTCGCATTCGTGCGAACCGACGTGTATTAAGTGCGGTCTCGCTCGAACTCTAGTACGAGCGGATATAACGCCGTCTCTCTCGCATTCGTGGCGAGCCGTGCACAGTGCGGCTTTCGCGTATTCATAGATAGCCACAAGTCA